TTAAACTCAAAACATAGAGGAATCATGTTTTGAGCTTAATGACTTTAGGATTCAACCTTGAGGAATCTTGTTGGATTACTTAATGAACGTGGAAATAATGGAATTAGAATCGCATTTATTTTAAGAAGATCTACGAGTTAGCAAGTGCTCTGAACCAATCCTTATTCTTAATCATTGTCTTTACTACGTTTATTTTATTGTGTTGTTCTAATCTGTTTTCACTTATCTGCAATTTTAACATCACTCTCTTTTAAATCATTAGAGCGAGAATTACTAAACACGCAAATCCCTGAGGATGATCTTTAAATACTACTTCGAAACTTGATTCACTTGCCAAGTGGTAGGTTTGTGAAAAATCTTCATCACTATGTGAATACACATAAAAAATTATCCATGAAAATTTGGATTGAAAGTTACTCAAACTCTACGTATAATCATAACAGCAAAACAACTCAATTTATGAAAGAAGTACTTGTTTCTTTATAAATTGTTAGTATCACTATATTTTCATAAATAATTAAAAGAAAAGGGAAAAAACGGGTACATTAATTATGTTCATTTTATTTAATATTTGGTAAAATAAATAAAAAAGGAAAGAAAAAATTGTAGTTCCCGATATGTCTTTTGGCACTCTTCTCCAACTCAAATTAAAAAATTTTCTTTTATAACTCACATTGAGACAAAAAGGAAAAAAAAGGCTCTTTAAGATTATGGGTGGAAAGAATACTACAAGAAATTTGTGGATTGGAGATAAATAATAATAATAATTATTATTATTATAATTAATAATTAATAAAAACATTAAAAGAACTTCATTTATATTTTGTTAATAAGAAAAGTATTTTTTACATATAAAATACCACACTAGTTAGAGCAAAAATATTATTTTGATCAGACAAACTTATTGTTGTAAACCAATCATGACATAGACATATCTATTAATAGGATCAATTAGTCTTCCCTGAGCCTCAAATAATATGCTACACATCGCTTCTTGACGATGATTCACTTCAATAGCCAACAACATCTTCAACAAATTACTTGTACCAAAAACTTTGTGTAGCTTGGTAAATTGTGCCAAACTTTGGTCATAACCAAAGTAAGGGGCAAACATGCAATCATAGTGCACTTCTTTTGTTGGTACTTACACACCCCACACGCAGGTGAAGATGCTTCTAATAGAGCATGTTTGACCTAACATTTAGTAACACTAAAAGTGTCGTCAACATCACGCTTATTTTTTGCTGATCAACCATAGTTACCTTTAAATAATACAGTGCCATAAGTTTATTTATACATAGAGGAGGTGCCCATTCCTTGTGTATACGAATATGTGAAGTTATCTTTATTTATTTATTCTTTTTTGAAAAGTGAATTGACGTTATAATGTATCTCATATTCTTTAAGGCTTTGTTTGGATTTGAGGATGGAAAATGGGGAGTGGAAAAGGAGGGATTTGAAGGGAAAAAGAGTGGAAAGTGAGGTTGTTTGGATTAAGGGAAAGTGAGTGGAAAGCAGTGTTTTAAAACCCGGACCGACCCGGCCGGTCGGACCGGTTGGACCGGGAACCGGTGGTCCAGCCAGTTCGAACCTTAAGTTGGATCAGTTATGCAGTCGACCCGTTTTAAACCGGATTGAACCGGTCAATTTTCCGGTTCA